AACAAAAAAATTTATTTTTGTCGTTTGAACTCATAAGGACTTCCGAAAACGATTTATTAATTTTTATACAATTTATTTCACATAATTGTTCTGACAGCGCTTCGAAGTTACAGAACTGGCAGTGACCTCTTTTTCATAAGGTCCTATAAACCTGGAGCCTAAGTTCAACGACTTAAAGAAAATCTTAAAGTACCAATGTTATCGGCAGTCCAATATAGTTTGCATATTATACTATATTCCAATGTCCCGAAACACTGTATTCCGTGAGAACTTGCATGACTTCTTGCATGACAGTTTGTTTTCTAGTTAGTTAACCGATTTTTTTATTTCACTTTATTTCCCGAGAGTACCACTGGCTGTTTGTGATTTGGTTCCCCAATATACTTACTAGTATATCTTGTTGCCTGCTCGATTATTACCAGTAAGGCAATCTTCTCTTACGTTTATTCATGTAACATAACTAACCATACATAATATTATACCTTCTGCTCAAAAGTATCCGGATTTTGTTGTTTGATAACTACTCCTTAAGTAATAGCCCTTTTTCAACATTTTTTGTTATGTTGGTACACTAGGGTGGCTCAGAAAAACTAAAATGCGATTTTTAATGAGCGCACCCTCTAGGAATATGCCATTGACCAAAAAAATGATATTCCCAAAGTTTTGGAGCAATAGGATTAAAAATGACGTTGCGCCACTCGAGCAAAGTTGGGTTTTCAGGACAAAAAACAGTAATTTTTCAATTCAAGGTCATTTCTTATCTTTGTTACTTGTTTCAACACTTATTAATATATACTCATTTGATAGATAATTAAAATATCTTTTTAATAAGATACAGATGAGCAAAATCGGTTAAAAATTATGCGCAAAACACAATAATTAGTTCAGCGACTGTGCTCTGTTTTCTATTTCATACCTTTTAGCTGGCATGCACAATTACGTAATAGGTATATGCTACGATTTAGTTAATTATTTATAAAAAATTATAATTTCAATAAAACTTTTTTTTTTCAGTAATTAATATATTGTGTTTATTATGTTTTATGACATAAATCTGACTATGTGAAGGATAATTTTTATGATAATGTTCGACTACTTGCAGAATATATTGTTTTTCCTCTTCATATTTTGTCAAAATCGAATTATAATCCATCATAAGCCTAATTCCTCTTTCAATCATTTATCATATAAAGTCTGGCACAGAATTCAAGTGCATCTCTATAATCTTGCGTCTCCATCCATGGCGATGGATCGAAACTGATAAAACTATTAGATAGGCAAAAACGATCAAAAAAATTTGTTATCTCTTCGGTCACGAAATCAATAAGGTTCCTTGAAAAAAATTACTTCATTAGTGGGTTCCCACTCTTTATCAAACCAGAGATAGATAGCTGGAAGCTTGGATCTGTGACCGGTAACTCTACAGTTACTATCTACGCAGATGGCTCAAAGATGGAAGGCGGTACGGGAGCAGGTATCTTCTCGAAAGATATGCAGATAAGACAGTGCTACCGAATCCCTGCTACTCACAGCGTCTTTCACGGCGAGATATATGCTATCGAAAAAGATGTCAACATTAAACAACAAAGTACAATTCGTCCTTCGAAAATCACGATTTTTGTAGATAGGCCGCACTGAAGACAATTGAATCTAAATTCCAAGATACTCGCATCACTGATGAGCATCCAACATCATAAGGTCTCTCTTTGTTGGACATAGTACATTTCGAATACTTGGACATAGCAATATTGAAGGGAATGAACTAGCAGATAAGATGGCCTAGCAGATGAGATGGCCAGAAGAGGTTCTGAATTGCATACAGGAGATGCCGACCTCTCAATACATACACCGATATGTAAACTGTTTAGGATAATAGAGGGAATCAATAAGGTGACTAACTATTTATAAACTAACCGCGAAGACTGTAAGGTCCCTAGAATCTTAAGGCCTAAGTTGGACAAAAATAAAACGAAAAGCCTTCAAGGTTTGAGCAAACCTGCAGTTCGTGTGCAGGGGCACTGTGCCATTGCGCCTATGCTCCAACGGTGGCGAGTTCCAACAAGTGGATTATACAGGAGTTGCCAAGATGAAGAGGAGGTAAAATCTATCAACCATTTCCTGTGTCTCTGTTCAGGACTTCAAACAAGCCTACTTTAATGTCTTGGGGATCCTTATTTTACTGGCTTGGAAGAGATAACGAAAGCAAACTTATCGAATCTCCTCAACTTCATCTGGAAAACCAAATGGTTTAACAAGGATAACAAAGATTAGCTCGCATCTCCTGGTAAAATTTTTTGAGGGCATCCCAATGGGCAATATAAGTCTCTGAGTACAAGTGCTGACAACTGTCAGCACGTGCCTTCCGAACATAATCTAACCTAGTGTGGTTTAAAATTTTCGCACATATGCTCACCATAAAAATGTATATATCTCGTACAAATCATCCGAGTTATATGTAAATTGATCTCTTAAAATATACATTTTTAGTACATGATTTTCGCCATCCATCGAGAATCTTAGATGGCACCTGGGCGCCACAGGTAACCATACCTACTACTACAAAATATGTATAGCGTAGCGATCCGAAACCTGGCATTTGTCAAGGGCGGAACGTAAACTAGGAGTGATAAATTGAATCGTTCTGTCTGCGTTATCCCAATATTGTTGAACTGTGACTAAAGATTCAGCTTCCATTTTGAGACAATTTCTTCATCGAATTCATTCCAATTACAATCAATGAAATTTTTAGCCGCTCTTGCTTCGTTTGCTAAAAGGATATTAACTTCAGTCATAGTCCCTGTACGACCATTTTCTCTTTGCTTACGGAAAAATTCTTGTTTTGACTACTTTTTCAATTCTACTTAAATATCTATATAAATTATTAAGTAGAAATGTATTATTTTTATTTTTTATTTATGTTTCTTCCGTTTCTTGTAAACATTTGCGATAGCATTGTGCATGCCAGCTAAAAGGTATCAAATAGAAAACAGAGCACAGTCGCTGAACTAATTATTGTGTTTTGCGCATAGTTTTTAACCGATTTTACTCATCAGTATCTTATTAAAAAGATATTTTAATTATCTATCAAATTAGTATATATTAATAAGTGTTGAGGACAAGAATCAAGGACAAGAAAAATTTTTTGTGGCTGGTGTACTGGAAAGATTTCTCAGGACTTAGACAAAACAAAGCACTGATCTACGGTTTGATCCTACATAAACACTCTTAAATTCTTAAAAGGTAATTTAAGTTTGATAACGAGTTCAATTTCTGGTCATTATATACGGGTCATCAAATGTTTCATCATGATAATATCACGTAAGTCATATCCTTGACGACTTCGAACATATTGACGGAATTTGGTTGAGAAGTTGTAATGCATCTAATGTAATGCTAAAAGGTATGAAATAGAAAACAGAGCACAGTCGCTGAACTAATTATTGTGTTTTGCGCATAATTTTTAACCGATTTTGCTCATCTGTATCTTATTAAAAAGATATTTTAATTATCTATCAAATGAGTATATATTAATAAGTGTTGAAACAAGTAACAAAGATAAGAAATGACCTTGAATTGAAAAATTACTGTTTTTTGTCCTGAAAACCCAACTTTGCTCGAGTGGCGCAACGTCATTTTTAATCCTATTGCTCCAAAACTTTGGGAATATCATTTTTTTGGTCAATGGCATATTCCTAGGGGGTGCGCTCATTCAAAACTTCATTTTTAATTTTCCCCCTTATAACGTGAGCCACCCTATTGGTACACCCTCTCTTGACATATGGTACAAATTTGAGCGCCATCTGTCAATTAGTTTCTTTACAGCAGCTGTTAATATGAGACTACCTCAAGTGCATTTAGAGATATTTACTATGGAAAATTGTTGTTATACGCGATTTCTTGACCAAACACGGCACCACTGTCATCGCTCAGTCATCATATTCGCCAGATCTGGATCCGTTCGACTTTTTCCTGTTAACGAAACTCAAATTGCCCCTTCGTGGTAAGCGTTTTGAGTCGATTGAATCGGTAAAAGAGAATTCGCTGAAGGAACTAAAAGTCAATCGCCGAAGGAATGCACGGGCCTACGAAAAGTATATGGAAGATTGGGTTACGCATTGGCATATGTGTATCGCTTCAGAAGGAGCATATTTTGAAGGAGATAAAATAAATTTGGAATAAAATTTAAATTTGTGTGTTTTCTTTACAAAATCCGAGTACTTTTTGAGCAGAAGGTATTATTTTGCCAATATTGATTTATTTTAAAAAATCCAAGATTAACAAAAAATTGTTTGATGGAAAAATTCGGCCACAGTACAAAATAAATACTTCTAATATCAATTACACCAAATCCTTTTATATAGCAATTTTAATTACTTTTAATTTTTTAATAGTTAAACATAACACGTAAATAAATAAAATAAAAATGCAAAAGTTAAATATTGTTGACCTCACAACTTAAAACATTTTTTATTCATATTTTTGTATTATTAAAGAGTTAAAATCAAGCATATCCTTCACCAAAATATTAATAAAAATATATTTGTATATTTATTATTTATTACTGTAGTTACTTTGCAATAAATTTTCATTTTCCATTTATGTTGGGCACATAATTCTGAGATACACACAACCACATTGAGATACAGAATGTGTAATTTACACTGCAATACTCATATTTGCTGAAATTATTTTTAACAAATTATGTTTGCAAATAAAAAAAACATTAAGTACATAAAACAAAAACAAAAAAAAAAATTTTTAAATATATTTATTAAAATAAAATAATAAATATTATTAATGCCATTTACATTTTGATGTGGTTAACTCATTAAATTTAATTTAATTTACCACAATTGAACCCTGCTCGCATTTGGTCAATTTGGTCTCATGATTTCGTCATATTTTGTTTCCAACATTAAAAAACGTTTAAAATTGACCAAAAATAAATTAAATATTATGAATTAAATAATGCTGGAATTTTTAAATTGAATTCAAATTCTCTTTTGAAAAATAAATTTAACATTCAATTTAATTCAAATATTAATGGGGAAAAATGGTCGGATTTTAACAACCTTGACAAAATATTTGCGAAATACAATTGTTAAGGTATCAAATCGCAATGCGTTGTGAGGACCTACCAAAAAAGCCACCTATACTTTATCTATTGTTAATTTAATTAATGATATTGGTACATTAATTAGATTACATATAAATCACACTCTTCCAAAGAAGGCGATTGTTCTTGCTAACCCTCTCCATTGTCCATTATTGGCAGCTTGGACTTCATCAGTAACGCCGGCTATTTAACTGCAATGGCAACAATCCAATTGGACTGAGGTTTGGTCCACTTCAAAAATACAATACTTATAAAGAATTTAAGTACGAATAATTGCATTTACCACTCACTAGCTTGATTTTGGGTTTATCCGCGCCGGCGTTCACGATTGAGTTCAGTCATTAAATGTCCTAATGTTTAACTCCAACCAACCCAGTGATTTGAACGGAATGAATTTTGATTCTTCATACCATTCATTCCGGATATCTAGAATAAGAAAGTATTTTTGTAACAACATTTTCTTAGTAGCTGTTATTTATTATAATTCTGCTTACAACTATACATTTATATATTTATGAATCTATAAGCATCTACTTTTTACCCACTTTTTATTCCATAACTCACCTTTTGATTACTTATTAAAAAACCGATTTAAAAAATCTTACTCCCCAAAAGCAAAATATGTCGTTCGAAGCGAGAAGTTTTTGACGTTTCAATAGAAGAAAATATTTTAATGAAAACATTTTGAGGTAATATTAACTGGCTTGCTGGCACACAGTCACAATAAATCGGTCATAACTTGCCGGATAATTCTTTTCAGAGCTTACAATGTTTGAGGATTCGAGGTACAGTATCCGCATATGCTCGATACTTTGTAATGTTATAGTGTCACAAAATACAGCAGGTATATAAATACAGGAATATAGGCGGTAAACGATACGTACCTATAAATAGAAAGCAAAAATTATCCTTTGATATATGGTATATGAACCAAATCTTACAATTCCATTTTCCAAATGTAAAAGACGAAATAATTACTTAAACTTTCGTAAACTCGTTGAAGACGTAGGTTTAAAATTATCGAAGAAGTTAATAAAATACTGTTATATTTCTTAAAGACCCTCTAATGATAGCCACTACACGATGTTTCTCGCAATGGATTTTCATTGTCGTTTGTTGTCCACAAGTATCTCTTCTTCTTTGTTCCGTTAACTCCCAGTGGAGCATAGGACCTCAGCAAGTATCTCTAGGTATTGTGTTTTGTTGTATTTTTAATGTTAGAATGATATTCACTTTTATTCATTGAAATTATGAACTGCATCTTCCAACAACTTACTGAGTGCCCTGATACTTCTTCTTCTAATATTAACCCTTGTGCTCTGATCTCGTTTAATATTTTGAGTGAAATGCTTTTAGTGTCAAAAAGTGAATTTTCTGTATATTATTTGTTATAAGAGCGTTGAAGTAAACGAGAAAGTCGTTCACTCCATAGTTACTTCTGAATAGGGCTTGTTATAGGGCTTGTGGGTACATTCAGTGATAATAATTAGTGATTTTTTTCGTCATTTGTCTGCACAATACATTGTTACTTATATATGTTAAGTACTAAACAAAAAAACAAAACCACATTGAAGCCATTATTTAGCCTACTAAAACGAGCAGTTAGCCGCAGGAAAAAGCGTTTCCTTTTTCAAAATTTTTCAGGATTTGATTTCATCGGTTCGCAAAACGCTTTCACTTTGCAAAGTAGGACAAAGGCAAATATTGGCTGTTTAGATAATCATCAAGATAAGCAATTGCCGGCAATATTTTTTAAACGAAAAAATTAAGGATATTATTAAGCGAACCCAGCAAGAAAAAAAAAACCACAAGGAAAAAATAAATAAATAAAGGAGAAAGAAAAATATTCATTAAAAAGCAAATTGTACCAGCAAATTAGTTTGACCAAGGAATTTTTACCCTATCCTATCCGAGTATTTTGAGGAGTTGACTTCTTGTATTTCATTTTACTCTAATTCGTTAGAATGTTTTACATTTCTTCTAATGAGGTTTAGGATACTTTCCTGGCAATTTTTTATATTCTATTTTAATTTTATATTACTACAGGTTTATATATACATATGTAAATATTTTAATATACAAACGAAATCATACCGCCCAACAAGCTTTGTAGGAATCCACACCAAAAATAGTTTAAACGAGCCGATTAGATAAGTTTGCTTTTTAAGAGATATATATACCGCTGTGTCTATAAATATCTGTGAAAATACATGAACATTTTAATTAGAGTTTAAAATGATATATACATGTCATTTTTAAACTAAATAATATAGTTCAATAAGGACAGTAAGTATCTGTGAAAATAGAGAAAACATTAGTTGTATGACTCGTAAAATTCAAGACTGCATAAATCTGTATTAGACAAATATCTTCTACATATGGACAGTACGTACATCACGAAATGAAATTCATGATTTATGGTAACTGTGGCGATACTTGAAGTGTTAGTTCCATAGCAACAGCAAAGTACACTTTCAACAATACAGGATTTTCATTTTTCTTGCCAGAATCACTTCTGTATCATATAGCCCGCTTAATATACAAAAATCACGCTTTCAGCTCTATCCATGATATTGCTGAGTAGCGAACGTGATGAATCCGATACTAATAGAAACATGTCGTTCATTTTCACTTTGCGATCAAATGTCAAAAGCAATATTTTTTTAAAAACTAGTACCTCTATGAATAACCTTCTTGATATATAAATCACTTGCATTGCATTAAAAAATGATTCACGTTCATTTCCAAATGTCAAAATATGACGTTGAATTATTGTAAAGTTAACAATTTTTCCCTTGGCGGTATAGTAAAATAGTTTCGCTCTCCAGATATCGCACATTAAAACTGAACATTTTTACGAATTTGTTGCGAATTTATAGGAATAGTAATAACAATTAGTCGCACCATCTAGCGACAACTAGTGTATGGAATGTCTTATTCTGGCGCGTGTAGTCACTGTTTGCTATTACTTGTGTATATAAAAATATTTTAATATTAATTATTTTACCTATTGTTTTTGAATGCCATCATTCATTGCGTATAATGAATCTACTTCATAGACCAATGCAATCGGGTGTTAGTTAAACCTTTCCCGCGACCTCTTTCTCTAATTTAATAATAAACAGATAAACTTTTATTTCTGCAAAAAATACAAAAAATAAACATTGAAAATTAGTATTATTATTTATGTATTGTTTTAATTTTTGATTCTATCACACAAATTACAATTTAGGTTTGATTAGAAACCACTGAAACAACCTATTAGTTGATTACAAATGGAACCTTCTCGAATTTCAAAATATAGAGAAGAATTTCTGTCTCTTCTTTCTTTCTTTAAGACGAAAGAAGATTCTGTCTCCTCTTCAGATTGTCGGGTTGATAGTAAAGTAGGCAATGAGGGACATCCTTCCCATGAGTTGATTCCAGTGACTTTGTGGGAATACACGAAATGATTGTTATGGTCTCTTACTAACATTTGTTTTCTTTTTCAAGTCTTTCAAAATGATTTTAAAGCAATCTTAAAGCAATCAGTACTTAATTCAGACGAATATTTCTTTCTATGCTTGACCGCATTCTCAGGAGTTGCGACAATTTTGTGTTTATTACTAATTCCATTCGCGACAAGAAATAATAGGTCTGTTCCACGAGCTACTCGTAGTAAAACTCAAGTAAAACGCAAGTAAAACTTACACGAAAATTGGCTAGTGGAAGGAACTTGTGTATACACAGTTTTACTCAAAGTTACTACGAGTAGCTCGTGGAACTTACCAGCCTCATGTTGCAGTAGTTCAAGTTCACAAATTTTTATTAAACAAATATATCTAATTACTTTTTCAGTTGATAAATTTTTTTTATACAAAAATAAAAGAAAATAATACTACTATAAAACTAGGATGACGTAGATATAGTTTTAGTAATATTAATTAATGTTAGATTGTTCCTGATGATAAGTTTTAAGGAGAGTCGAATAATATATAGAATAATATAAAAAATATTTAACGTTGAATTATTTAATAAAAAGTTAGCTATAGCCGATTTCAAAAATATATAAAAACCATTATAAGAACACAGGTCGATAAATATTTTCAAAAAATTTTATAAAATAAAATAATGTGGAGACGTAGAAAGCAAAGAATGAAGAGATGCAAGTTACCATATAGTATTTTTGAAATATCGTTATTAAAAGTTTGCAAAAGTAAATACATAAGTAATGAATAAAAGCAAATAAAAGTTATCCTATTAATATATTATATATTTATTAGAATAACGAAGTGATAATATATCAGCTGTTTAAATGTCATTCAAAATGAAAATGAGATTTATTGACAAAATGAGATTTATTGATATTTTATATATCACAAAAAATATCAGTAAGCTATATGCCTTATAATATTATATAATATAAACCATACACACGATAATATTTTTTTTTTTTAAATTCACAATTCGCCAAAGAGAAATGCGTTCAGCTTGTGCATTTCATTTTCCTAACAAATCTCGTACAGCGGATTTGAAAGAGCTTGTAGCCGCTGTATTTGCGAAAATTTACACCTTTATATATTTACATAAAATATAAAAAAGCATGTATTTATGTATACATGTATATATATATATATATATATAAATATATATAAATACATATGAATATAGATTTAGGTAGTAGTTAGCTCATAATTTTGTATATATCTTACAAACGTGGGAGAGGTGCGTATTTATATAAAGACGCAAATTTCACGGGAGCGCAAATCCGCTGTACGAAATTTATTTTTGAAATGAAACACACAAGCTGAGCGAAAATTGCATCTTTATTATATATAAATATATACCTCTTCCATGTTCGTTAGATGTTTCCAAAACTATGATGCGTAATTGGCACTACTGCAATGTTGTAATTGCAGTCAAGTCATGCAATTGCAGTTGGTTTTCAATGCAAAAAGTAAATTTCACACTGACAGCTCACCTCATTTTGCATTGAAAATAACAAGAATTGTTGTAAAGATGCATACCTCTTAGAATAAGAAAGTATTGCATTTATTTTTTGTGAAAAAATAAAATTTAATCCATGAAATACTGCCAACATTATTACAATATAATTTTCTTCAACGTATTCCAGCATTAATAAATTGTTATTTATTGCTATTTATTCAAATATATAAATTCATCTTTTGCAGTCACAAATAAACAGTTGATACTTGTGTATATTTCAAAAGATATATGTATCAAAGGACGTTCATGTAATCACTTGCGCATGTTTTGCTATTTGTGCGGTTTCCCATATTAGGTCTGTTCCACGAGCTACTCGTAGTAAAACTCAAGTAAAACAGTGTAGCACAAATAAAGTGCCAAATTACGCTCCTTACACAGATTTTTATAGAACAGCGTTGTGTAAAGTACAAAAACTTAAATTCAAACCAAAACAGCTGATTCACACATCACACAAATTTTACTTGAAATAAAATGTACGAGTAAAGTCTGTGTAGCATTTTGAAATTTCGACAGGGATGTTACGCTCTCTCAGATGCGCTCATTAACTCGAAAATGTTGCTGGTGGAAAGCACTTGTGTATACACAATGTTACTCGAAGTTATTATGAGTAGCTTGTGGAATAGACCTATTATCACTTCGCTTAAATCTGCTTAATAATTTAAAGTTGAATTAGTGGTACAAAATCAGCTGACACATTTCACCTTTGTTGACATGAAACTTTATTTGAAAAATATCTCACTTGAAATTAGGATATTTGTGACAGATTTTTTTCCAAAATAGAAGTTAGTACTAGACTTTATAGAAAACAATGGATTCAATTTGACTTTTTTGTGTTTAAATGTTGTTTTATACTCTATGTATACTCTATTTTCTACATTTGCTACGTCTATGGCAACAAAGAAGAAGAATAGTTCTCCATTTACAAATATCGTAACTCATTAGCGTTAAACGTACTATGATATACGAAAAACTTTTTTATTTGAATGTAAAGTACACCCGCTCTCGTGGTTTCAAAAATCTTGTAATCTCCAAAAATAATTTATATTGGCAATATTGTTTTGTTAAGCAAAATTGATGCTAGTGATCATCAATCATCAAAAAAAGATAGTGAATATATTCAGGAGCAAATTTGTTGTGAAATAAATACTTTAAAATGGAAACGATTAAGTTTGTAATAGAAAATATCGACTTTGAACGAATTGAAAGACTGATGCTTATACTAAAATATCATAAGTGCATATATAGCGTCACATGTAATCCATGCTTAGAGCAAAACAGGTTTTTCTTTTTCCTGACGGCCAATGATATTGTTTTTGCGGAATGGATCTTTAAAAAAGCTTTTAAAGCTATCCTAGATCTTTACTAAATGAAAAGTTCTCAATAATTATATAATGTAAGTACATAAGTGTATATATATATATACATAAGTATTTAGTAATTATCAATTACCAAACTATCAAATATTTATATAAGTCAGCGAACAATTATTTACAATTGGATTGAACTGGGTTGAACTGGGTTGGAATTGTTGACGCAGTTTATTCCCAAAATCCACATTTCTCACCATTTAGACCAAATAATGGATTAATGTATTTATATGCATTGCTTGGTGTTAATGTAGATATATTTTAAGTATGTTATAGATAAGGAAGTTTATAAAACGGGAACGTAGTGAAATTGGTTCGTGCGAGCAATAATGACATGCAAGTTGTCATTATTTTCAATTAAATAATTTGTCAAAAACACACAGTTTGGATTTAAATAGAAAAATAGTTAATTACACGCAACCGACGACAAATGTGCAGCAGTTTCTTCACATGTCATCCATGTAAACATTCCTATTATTTTTTACGATGCTGTAGGTGGCGCATGGGTGCAAATTCTTGCTTGGCACCTTTTGGTGAGTGACTTAAGTCAGTCTTTGTTTGTTGTCTTTATCTAGAATGTACGATCTGATGTGACGGGAATGCGTGTGTAGTCATGATTTTTTACTGCTGAAATACGTGCTTTGAATCAAGTTATTTT